CCCTGGAATGCACCTTAGCTTCCTGCTTCTTCCATGTTGGCCACTTGACTTAGCTTTTCTGGGAATCCTGAGTGCTCTGGCTTCACACCCCTGCCCTAGCACTGCCTCTCAGGACCTCTCAAGCGCTGTTATACAACAGAGGTTTTTTTTTTTCTTAGATGAAGTTTTGCTCTTGTTGCCCAGATTGGAGTGCAACGGCGCCATCTCGGCTTGCCACAACCTCTGCTTCCCAGGTTCAAGTGATTCTCCTGCCTCAGCCTCCCAAGTAGCTGGGATTACAGGCATGTACCACCATACCTGGCTAATTTTTGTATTTTTAGTAGAGACGGGGTTTCTCCATGTTGGTCAGGCTGGTCTCAAACTCCCGATCTCAGGTGATCCGCCTGCCTCGGCCTCCCAAAGTGCTGGGATTACAGGTGTGAGCCACTGTGCCCGGCCACAATAGAGTTTTTTAATAGAAATGTTCCATCATCTTTGTTGTCCACTATAGTGGACTGAGCATTTGAAATGTGCCTAGTGTAACTAAGAAACTGTATTTTAACTTTTATTTAATTTTAATTAAATCTAAATAACATGCGGCAACTGGCTACCATATTGGACAGCACAGCTCTGAAGAGTTCAGTAGGAAGAGTTTTTGTTTATCTGTGAAATAAATCTGCCCCACCTACCTCACAGAGGTGTCTGGAACAAACAAGGTGATGAACGTGAAAGGGCTTTACTCACAAAAGGGATCTGAAAAGACAGCAGTGTGAACTGAGTGGGCTTATTCATACAACTCTGTTTATATATATACATATATATATATACACACACATATATACACATATATATACATATATATATTTTTTAATTTTTGAGATGGGGTCTCACCCTCACCCAGGCTGGAGTACAGTGGTACGATCTTAGCTCACTGAAACCTCCACCTCCCAGGCTCAAGCGATCCTCCCACTTCAGCCTCCCGAGTAGCTGGGACCACAGGCATGTGCCACCATACCCAGCTAGTTACTTTATTTATTTTATTTTTGGTAGAGATGGGTTTTGCCATTTGCCCAGGCTGGTCTCGAACTCCTAAGCTCAAGTGATCCGCCTGCCTTGGACTCCCAAAATGCTAGGATTACAGGCATGAGCCACTGCACCTAGCCTGTTAATATTTCTGTTAAATGGTGCTTGCCTGGCTGTTTTGATCTGTTTACATTTCTGTGTCTCTCATTTGACCCTGAGCTCTTCAAGGGTAAGAACCAGTAGGACTGTTTCACAGTTGTACCCCCACAGCCAATGGCTGGCATGTAGCTTGGTGCTCATGTTCAAGTGAATAAAATGTCTGCAGTCCAGAAAGGACTCCTGGCAGCAGGATTTGAGGTGTGTGGTGAAAGTTGGGTGGGCAAAGACGAAGTGGCCAAGGAGAGGAGGCAGGTCAATACAGTGGTGAGACAGAGTGAGGGCTCCTGCTCCCCACTCAACATTTGAGACCTATCCAGAGAGAGCAGGGAGCCAACTCCTGAAGCCAGGAATACTTTCACACAACAGGGTATGAGGGTTGTGGGAGATTAATTGAGAAAGGCTGATCAGAGGAGAAATGATCTACTCAACACATTCTGCTCGTTGAGGAAGGCCAAATTGATCTTATAAATCTCCGCCTAGCCAGGGCTCTGGGGGTGGGTGCTGTGGTTTCCTTTGATTTGATTGATGGTGGCCGGGTTGAAGGTGATTCCTCAGGCTCTCTACCCTTCCAAGCCTTCCTTTGCTCTTCTGGGGAGTGGAAGAGGGATTCTAGAAACTCTCCAACAGAACTGCAAGAGAGAGACGGTTTTTAGCCTGTTGTTTACTTATTTAAAAGGAATTTTTTGTTTTTTTTGAGAGAGTCTCACTCTGTTGTCCAGGTTGGAGTACAGCGATGTGATCTTGGCTCACTGCAACCTCCACCTCCCAGGTTCAAGCAATTCTCCCTGCCTCAGCCTCCCGAGTAGCTGGGATTACACACGCCCACCACCATGGCTTGCTAATTTTTGTATTTTTTTAGTAGAGACGGGGTTTTGTCATGTTGACCAGGCTGGTCTTGAACTCCTGACCTCAGGTGATTCATCCGCCTCAGCGTCCCAAAGTGCTGAGATTACAGGCATGAGCCACTGCGCCCGGCCTATAAGGAAATTTTAAACTTACTTTTGCTCAATTCCAAGACTTATATAAGGAAACAAAGAGAGGAGACTACCAAAATCCCAGCACCCACTGTGATGACTGGACTTCAAACTTCTCACCTTTACAGTGGGCCTCCTTGCTTAAGGCCGTGTGAGTAGACGCTGTCTACTTAGGTTCAACCCTGCACACTGGCTTCAGCAGCTCAAGAGGCTTGATTTCAGAGCAAGTTCCTCTGAGAAGGTAGTTCTGTCAGGGTATGGCTTTGTCTGTTGGGACTACTATAACAAACACCTTAGGCTGGGTAATTTACAAACAGAAATCTACTGCTCACTATTCTAGAGACTGGGAAATCCAAGATCAAGGTGCCAACAGATTTAGGGGCTGGTGAGGGCTTGCTCTCTATTTCAAAGATGGTGCCTTGCTGCCTTGCTTCACATGGTGGAAGGGAAGATCACTGTGTCCCTCCATGGCAGAAGGGGCAAGGCAGCTCCCTTCAACCTGACCTTTTTTTTTTTTTTGAGATGGAGTTTTGCTCTGTTGCCAGGCTGGAGTGCAGTGGTGCGATCTCGGCTCACTGCAACCTCCACCTCCTGGGTTCAAGTGATTCTCCTGCCTCAGCCTCCTGAGAGCTGGGACTAGAGGTGTGCACCACCATGCCCTGCTAATTTTTGTATTTTTAGTAGAGACGGGGTTTCACCATGTTGGCTAGGATGGTCTCGATCTCTTGACCTTGTGATCCACCTGCCTCAGCCTACCAAAGTGCTGGGATTGCAGGCGTGAGCCACCACGCCCAGCCCAACCTGACCACTTTTTAACACTATCACATTGGATATGAGGTTCCAATGTATGAATTTAGGGGAGACACCAACATTCAGACCATGGCAGGGCTTTTCAAGGTTTGGAGACCGGACCTGGGGTGGCAGTGGGAGACAGACTATCCCTTTCCTACCACATACCTAAGCTGGTTAGATCTGTCCCAAGGAGAAAGGCCCCACTTTGACCGCTGGCAGCTGTGTTCAGCTGGCCTCTTCTCTTGGCCCAAGCATTCATTTATTCATGCTATGAGAAGATTTGAGCTTATTCTATTTTTAAGGCTCTTACTCTTGTAGCACTTTATTAATATCTTTTTTATAACTTGTGCCAGTCTCTATTACAATTTATATGTTCATTCTGTAATTTATCACTCGTGAGATATTTGTTGAACATTTATTATCTGTACTCATGGTACTAGGCAGTGACATAAGCTAGAATTATTCTTAGGCCCAGTTCTTCTCACTGGTCTCGTGGGTGTTCCAGGGGAAAAGTGAGCTGTTCTCTTTCCAAATCAGGCCCCAGGTGTTTTATCTAGACCTTTCTCATAAGTTGGCACTATTCACTGAACTACTGCCCAGGGGCTTGTTCTCCCTTCCCATACTAGTAACCAAGGTTTGCTCAGTGGCTGTGAAGTCAGTTTCCCATCTGCTTGAAGTAAACATAATCAACAAGGTAAATTGAGTGGTAGAAGCTCGTAGAGTACATGGAAAAGGGAAAGGAAGTCCAGGGATAGGTTGTTTGCTATTGGGGCATACTTGCCTTTTGGGGAGGTCACTGTCTGGATTATTGTTTTCTCCACTCACGAATGACCAGGAATCACTGTGTGGGGGCTCTGAGGGCAGGAGGGGGCAGTCATTTTATTCATCAGGTTAAGCACGTCTAGGAAAGGGCAAGGTCTAAAGGAGGAACAGTGGAAAGAGAACAGGACTTTGGAGGCACCTAAATCTAGCTTTAACTCCCAGTTCTATCACTTCCTGACTGTATGACTTTGTGTAACTCCTTTAGCCTCTTTGAGCTTTAGCTTCCCCATTTATAAAAAGGGGATGACCATTCTGCTCAGAGGACGTTATAAGTAAATAAAATATGTATGCAGCACCTGGCACAGAAAATATTATATTCACTGGTACAGCAGAATTAGAACTGCACTGACACTAGCCTGGGGAACATAGTGAGACCCTGTCTGTAAAAAAAAAAAAAAAAAAAAGCCTGGCAACAGTGGCACGCTCCTGTGGTCCCAGCTACTGGAGGCTGAGGGGGAGGATCCCTTGAGCCTGGGAGGTCAAGGCTGCGATGAGCCAAGATTGTGCCACTGCATTCCAGCCTGGGGGACACAGTGAGATGCCATATTAAAAACAATCAGAATTGCAAGTGATCTTTATTTTACTAAATTTTGAGACAGAGTCTCACTCTGTCACCCAGGCTGGAGTGCAGTGGCACGATTTCAGCTCACTGCAACCTCTGCCTGGTGGGTTCAAGCGATTCTCCTGCCTCAGCCTCCCAAGTAGCGGCAATTACAGGCGCCCGCCACCACGCCTGGCTAATTTTTGTATATTTAGTAAGGGGGGGGGTTTCACCATGTTGGCCAGGCTGGTCTTGAACTCCTGGCCTCAAGTGATCCGCCCGCCTGGGCCTCCCAAAGTGCTGCGATGACAGGTGTGAGACACTGCGCCCGGCCACCTGATGTTATTTTTTAAATAATTGGTCCTTGTAAAAAATTTGCCCAAGTATATAAAGTGAGTGACTTACAGGTGTCGTATTTTGCATGAATTTGCGAGAAATTTTATTGCTGGAGACTCTCGGCTTATGTCCCAAACTGAGTCACAAGAACTTGATTTATTTTTACCCGCACCCCTCTGATTGCTTTCTGAGGGTCCTTCCGCTAGAAAGAAATTACACTGTTCGAAAATCAGAGAGGAAACTTCGCGGTTGCAGCCTGGAAGCAGAAGCAGGTGGGAGGAATCTCTTCAGCCCTCGCTCTACCAGCGGAGGGGCACTGGGGCAGCTCGTGCAGAGTCTGCAGAGGGCGGTGCTAGGGGCGGTGCTCCCACCTCGGTGCGTGGTCGGGGGTGCCGCGCGCTGTTCTGTCGGCCCGCGATTGGGCGAGGCCACGAGCTGCGTAACAGCTGCCAGCTCACGGGCTCAGACTGTCGCCGCCGCGTTTGCGCAGGGGGAGCTGGTCGCCGCTGCGGCCGCCTGGAATTGTGGGGGTTGTGTCTGCCACTCGGCTGCCGGAAGCCGAAGGTAGGGGCGGTGAGGGCCGCCCGGCCCTGGAGCTGGGCTGGGGGTTCAGGGCGCTTCCTGGGCCTTCTCCTGCGGGCGGCCTCGGCGCCTTCGCAGCAGTGTTCTCGGGACCCACACATCCTCACTAGTGTCTCCAAAGCGGGACGTCCAAGTGGGCCCGGTGCACCCTGCCGAAGGCCCACCTTTCTTACCTTTCCCACTCAGAATGTCTCCATTCACCTCTTCATTGGCAGGAGATGAGGCCGTGGAAATTCGATATTGGCTTTGGCTCCGCACCTGTTTTTAGTGCCCTTGTCTGTTTGATTCTTCCGGCCTAAATTTCCATATCTGTCCGAAGGGGTGGCTTGGGTGTTGACCCGTGTGTCTCTTCCCATGTGGAATTATTGTCACTCTCTTAATGCTTGTTTTTCTTTGTCCTAGAAAATTTGCCTTTAGAGGTTACAGACTTTGGTTAGTGTTATCTCTCAGATCGTCTGGGGGGTTTGTGCATAAGCCTTGGACTCCGTTCTCTGGGATTTCGGATAAGGTGGTGCGTGGGCAGCTGTACCCCAGGGGGTTCTCATTCAGGTAGTCCCGGAATCCTGGCTTTGAAAATCCCTGCTTCAGAAGTCAGGAGAGAATGACTTGACATATGAGCCCCTGGAATGGGGCTCTGAGTGGGAAAAGCCAGGAATCAGGAAATGCTAACACCTGTGAGGCTGGGGCTTTCTTTGCACCGGAGGAATTAGAATACCATTTGATGTCTTTTAAAAATATTTGACTACCTATATATGTAAGATCAGTTTTCTAATGTTTTTAAATGCCTGGCTTCAGTTGGCTTTCCCACCTCAGTAAACCTAAATAAAAACACAAAACTGTTCTGAGAGATGGGGAGGCGGTTAAGTTAACCCAAACTAAGTAGACAGGAGGAGAATAAAATTTACATATTTGCTAAGAGACGAAACTGATGTGTTTATAAACAGTTTTTTTTTATTTTTTATTGAGGCGGAGTTTGGCTCTTGTTTCCCAGGCTGGAGTGCAATGGCACCATCTCGACTCACGGCAACCTCCGCCTCCCAGGTTCAAGCGATTCTCCTGCCTCAGCCTCCCGAGTAGCTGGGATTACAGGCATGCGCCACCATGCCCGGCTAATTTTCTTTTCTTTCTTTCTTTCTTTTTTTTTTTTTTTTTGATGGAGTCTCGCTCTGTCGCCCAGGCTGGAGTGCAGTGGCCGGATCTCAGCTCACTGCAAGCTCCGCCTCCCGGGTTTATGCTGCCTCAGCCTCCCGAGTAGCTGGAACTACAGGCGCCCGCCTAGTTTTTTGTATTTTTTTTTTAAGTAGAGACGGGGTTTCACCGTGTTAGTCAGGATGGTCTCGATCTCCTGAGCTCGTGATCCGCCCGTCTCGGCCTCCCAAAGTGCTGGGATTACAGGCTTGAGCCACCGTAATTTTCTATTTTTATAGAGAGAGGGTTTCTTCCAGGCTGGTCTTGAACTCCCGAACTCAGGTGATCTGTCCGCCTCGGCCTCCCAAAGTGTTGGGATTACAGGCACGAGCCACCTCGCCTGGCCTATAAATAGGTGGTTTTTTTTTTTTTTTTTGACATTGTGAAAGATACTTTGTTACGTGTGTGTCTTTTCAGCTCTCACCCCACCCAAATTTTTTTCTTTTCTGATAAAAGTATAACCAGGTTTGGGGATTAGGTAGGATTTTGATGGGAGCCAGAGTGTAACGATATTGGGATTGATATTTATACAACGTGGGTCAGAACTTGGTCTGTGGTTTTAGTTGAGAACATGGCCCTCGGGTTAAGATGGTGTTACCACACCAGATTTATTTCACCTGTCTTTCAGATGTTTAGTGAATTTAATCTGCTCATGAATACATGTGCTATTTTAATGAAATTGGCAATAGAAGAGACTTTCTGCTCCCATTTTACAGGTGATGGAAATGTTACTAGGGATGTGGAAGTCCAGGAATGAAAAGTTGCCTAGTACTTTGATTCCCACTTACTTCTTCCCTGCTGTTTTCTGAAGGCCAGCTATTCTCTACTGAGGCCAACTGTGAGCCCTGGTGTGTTTCATTGGCAGGAGAAAAGGCTAATTAAGTGAAACCGAAAGGTAACAAAATGGATTTTAAAATAACAGACATGTGGAAACTTAATCCACTAATGAATGTTCTCCTTTAGAGTGGTGTGTGCAGGTGTAGGTGGTGGGAGTTGAGGGTGGCATCCCCTAAGTGATTTGGCTGTTGTCCAAGGCAGTTTTGAAAATCCACCTCTGGAATTGTTTTCAGAGACCTTTTTGAACCATGTGAGAGATCAGTTCCTTTAATATATTGAGTCATACTGTAGACGGAGTCTCGCTCTGTCGCCCAGGCTGGAGTGCAGTGGCCTGATCTCAGCTCACTGCAAGCTCCGCCTCCCCGGTTCACGCCATTCTCCTGTATTTTTTTTTTTTTTTTTTGAGATGGGGTTTCACACTGTGGCTCAGGCTGGAGTGTGGTGGCATAATCATAGCTCACTGCAAGCTTGAACTCCTGGGCTTAAGTAATACTCTCACCAAAGCCTCCTGAGTAGTTGTGACTACAAGGGTGCACCACCAGGCCCAGCTAATTTTGTAATTTTAATTTTTTTAGAGACAGGGTCTCGCTGTGTTGTCCAGGCTGTTTTCGAATTCCTGGCCTTAAGCAATTCTCCTGTCTTGGCCTCCTGAAATGTTGAGATTACAGGCGTGAGCCACTGCATACAGCCTATATATATTTAATCCCGAATGGCATGGGTAAGCAACCTTGTCACCTGACTTGTCTTCAGATGAGTTAACGGTTCTTTTGAAGTGGAAATAACAGATTTTTGGAGGGTGGTGAACATGAGTTTTAATTCTGAGTCTACCACTTATTAGCCACATAACCTTGGATAAGTTACTTCACCTCTGGGGCTCAATGCACCACTACATAAAAGTGGCAATAATACTTTGAAGGGTGGTTAAATGAGGTAATTACCCATGAAAGCTCTTGGGACATAGGAATGCAATAAATGTTTTCACCCTCAAAGATTGAAGATTTGCTGTTAATGAGAATATTCAAAAGAACATGACAGTCTGGCTGGGCACGGTGGCTCACGCCTGTAATCCCAGCACTTTGGGAGGCCAAGGTGGGTGGATCACTTGAGGTCGGGAGTTCAAGACCAGCCTGACCACCATGGAGAGAAACCCCCTCTCTACTAAAAATACAAAATTAGCCGGGCGTGATGGCGCATGCCTGTAATCCCAGCTACTCGGGAGGCTGAGGCAGGAGAATCACTTGAACCTGGGAGGTAGAGGTTGCAGTGAGCCGAGATCATTGTGCCATTGCACTCTAGCCTGGGTGACAGAGCGAGAGACTCTGTCTCAAAAAAAAAAAAAAAAAGTCTCTAAAAGGAAGTTGTACCTTTTTCGAAAGAGGTGGATATTCTTTTTCACATGCTTGTGGATTCATACTCTGACCTGCTCAGCCTCCCCCCGTCTTTCTTCATTTTCTATCCTTTCCTAAGTGAAGTTCTGCTGCAGAGGCTGTCGGCCAGTCTCTTGGAGTAAGCCTCTTTTCAGGAGAGCTAATCTGAACGCTCTTACAATGCTAGTCCCTTGGTTACTATTCCTAGGGATTTTTCTTTGGGGGCTCCAGATGGTGCTTGGATCATGCTCTGTAGCACAGCCATCTCTAACTCCTGGATTTGGTGTCCATTTGGAGACCCATCCTGTGGAGCTAATCTTCTCTCTTTCTGAGCAAGGATGAATACTTTATCCTTTTCTGAGTCAGCCTTAAACTGCAAACCTTAGTCTTCTACAGCAGAAAGCCTTGCATTTTAATTATATATAGTCTAAAGAGGGAATAGCCTGCCCTTTTCTTTTCTTCCTTTACTTTCACCAAGGATTTCACTGCTGAGTAGGGGAGTAGGAGAATAGCCTGTTGCCATTCAGAGTGAGGCTTTGGGTAGCCCCTGATTCCTAGCATAAGCAATAACTGAGTTCATCTTTGGGACGAAAACCTTATAAAAGATTTGGGCTGCTCAGACATATGTGGAGAACCTCATGGAATTTTCCTAGCTTGTGAGGAGTTTATACCTGGCATTCTTACTTTTGCAAATTTCTACCCAGAATCCAGTAGCAACAAAACTATGTTCAGCCCAGACTTGTAGTTCCTTCAGGTTCCACCAGGCAGCTATAAGACAAGGGTGTGGTTGTGCTGGCTGGCCATGTCTGCCCTCATCCTCCTAATACTGCCCTTGGCTTTGGTATTGAGAAGGAAGTGGCATAATCAATTCGTGAGTAACATTCTCTGCCAAAGTGGAAGTCAGGGGCAGAGAGTTGTCAGCATAGGACTAGACAAATGGAAAGAGCCAGCCTTGCCTCAGGAATGCTGCTAAAGTGCTGTGAATCCATGACAACCACTGTGTTTCTTGGTTTCACCTCATTTGTGAAATGGGAATGCCTTCATTGATCTCTTTCATGAGAAGGGTGGACCACCATCCCAGTTTGCCGAGGACAGAGGGATATCCAAATATGGGACTTTTAGTGCCAAAAGCAGGCAAGTCCAGGGCAAACCAGGACAAGTTAGTTACCCTACCCATGACCATTATACAAATGAATGAACACTCTGTCCTTAGGGTTCATCTAAGACTCAACCCTTTGAGTTCATTTAATTATTTTTCAACCTTCTGTTCATTATCATATTTTGAGACTTTTTTCCCCCTAATTGTCTACTCCCCAATGGAATTTTTTTTTTTTTAGAGGGAGTCTCACTCTGTCACCGAGGCTGGAGTGCAGTGGCATGATCTCTGCTCACTGTAGCCTCTGCCTCCTGGGTTCAAGTGGTTCTTGTGCTTCAGCCTCCTGAGTAGCTGGGATTATAGGCGCCCACCACCACGCCCAACTAATTTTTGTGTTTTTAGTAGAGATGGGGTTTTGCCATGTTGGCCAGGCTGGTCTTGAACTCCTGGCCTCAAGTGATCTGCCCACCTCAGTCTCCCAAAGTGCTGGGATTACAGGCATGAGCCATCGCGTCTGGCCACCCCCAATGGAATTTTAATACCACAGATGTATTGTGTATCTGTTTTTGTATTGTGGCCCTTTCGACGGCCACAAACCATTGTAATATCTAATATTTTTTCCCTAAGAATCAATTTTCACCCCTTTTGAGGGTAATATTGCACTCATTGAGAATGCATGGTCTTATCTGATACTCTTTCTTTAATATAGTCATCAAGGCCTGTTTTTTATCGAAAAGAAACAACTGGTTCCACAAGCTTTTTCTTTTTCTTTTTCTTTTTCTTTTTTTTTTTTTTGAGACTGAGTTTTGCTCTTGTTGCCCAGGCTAGAGTGCAATGGTCATATAGGGTAACTAACTTGTCCTGGTTTGCCCTGGACTTCCTGCTTTTGGCACTAAAAGTTCCACATTTGGATATCCCTCTGTCCTGGCTCACTGCAACTCTTGCCTCCTGGGTTCAGGTGATTCTCCTGCCTCAGCCTCCTGAGTAGCTGGTACTTATAGGCATGTGCCACCACACCTGGCTAATTTTTTTTTTTGGTAGAGACAGTCTCACTGACCACCTCAGGCTGGTCTTGAACTCCTGGGCTCAAGCATTTCTCCTACCTCGGCCTCCCAAAGTACTGGGATTATAGGTGTGAGCCACCACACCTAGCCAAGTTTATTCTTTATTGTTTTAATTTTCTTTGAGTCTTTGGATTTTGAGGTGGTCCATTTACCATCTGCTTCTCTGGTGCCTCTTAGGCCTTCCATCTTCACAGCTGGGACTGCTGTGTTGGCCCAGGTATCCCCAGCCTGGACACTGGAACCTTTGGGAAGGGTCTGATATTTGGCCCTTGTCACATTTCACACCTACAGAGAAATGGGGAGGGGTATGTTTCTGAGGTCTGCTCACAGGCCATGTTGTCACTGAGGAAGTTCTTGATCATCCCTTTTAGTTACCACTTATCATCACTGGCAGAAGAACATCAAGGTAGTCAGTGAACTGATCTCCACAGCTGGCTACTTCCCTCTCTGCAAGTAGTTTGCTCCTTCAGTCTTGTGATGAGAAAGAGATCTAGAAACTGGAAGAAGAATCTGAGATACATCCTAAAGTTCTGGTGAGGAAAGCTGATGCCAGTGGACTTTTTTTTCTTTTTTTTTTTTGAGATGGGATTTTGCTGTGTTACCCAGGCTGGTCTTGAACTCCTGGCCTCAAGCAGTCCTTCCACCTCAGCCTCCTGAGTAGCTGGGATTGCATGCATGTACTACCATGCCTCACTCACCAGTGGATTTTTTTTTGAGACAGTGTCTTGCTCTGTTGCCCAGGCTGGAGTGCAGTGGCATGATCTCGGCTCACTGCAACCTCTACCTCCCAGGTTCAAGTGATTCTCCTTCCTCAACTTCCCAAGTAGCTGAGAGTACAGGCGCCTGCCACCATACTTGGCTAATTTTTGTGTTTTTAGTAGAGATGGGATTTCACCATGTTAGCCAGGCTGGTCACGAACTCCTGACCTCGTGATCTGCCCACCTTGGCCTCCCAAAGTGCTGGGATTACAGGCGTAACCACTGTGCCTGGCCCTTTTTAAGAGGGTCTCACTCTCTTGTCCAGGCAGGAGTGTAGTGGTGTAATCATAGCTCATTGCAACCTCCAACTCCTGGGCTCAAGTGATCCTCCCACTTTAGCCTCCCAAGTAGCTAGAAGCATGGGTGTGCACCACTATGCCTGGCTAATTTAATTTTTTTTTTTTTTTTTAAAGAGACAGGGTCTTGCTTGCAACATTGCCCAGGCTGATCTTAAATTCCTGGCCTCAAGTGATGCCCTACCTTGGCCTTCTAGAGCACTGAGATTACAGATGTGAGCCACCATGCCCAGCTGTACCAGTGGACTTTTAAATGGACATTTCTTTACCTCTCAGGATAGTCTCATTTCTGTGAGGCTCCCAAGGGGACAGCAGCCATCTGACCAAACTCTAGAACTAGCAGGCTTCAGCCCAGTGGAATAACATAAAGTAGGACAATCGATGCAGACAACATTGATTGGTCATGCTTTGAGTGCTGTGGATAGTGGGTATTGGAAGCTTAAGGGGCCAGCTAGTAAGTAAGTATTTAAGGTTGC